TGGGGTGCCTGGACACCAGCAAGTGTCTCACGGGTGACAAAGAGCCTGGGGGTCAGGTCCTCACAGAGGCTGCTGCAGGCCCACAGCCAGGTCATGGTGGGTGCAAACATTTTATCACTCCCATAGCTGTAGCTGCTTCACTTGGGAAATAGATGGCTCACCCCAGTTAGATCATTTGGGGAGGGTCGATTTACAAAGGTGGCTGGCATGGGGCTGCAAGGGACAGTGCAGTGACGGGGACAGGTGCGTCAGAGCCACCACATGTGGAGGCTTGGAGAGAGTAGGATTGAGGGCTAGAACCTGCAGGAGGCATCAGTGCTGGGCCCTCACAAATGGTGAGCCCCGTTCCCTGTTTGGCGGGGAGTCTGCTTCTCCCTCTGATCCTCCCCTCTCTCATGTGCTCTCTCTCTCTCTCTCTCATTCTCTCTCTCAAATAAATAAATAAAATCTTAAAAAAAAAAAAAAAAGGGCGCCTGGGTGGCTCAGTTGGTTAAGCGACTGCCTTCGGCTCAGGTCATGATCCTGGAGTCCCGGGATCGAGTCCCACATCAGGTTCCCTGCTTGGCGGGGAGTCTGCTTCTCCCTTTGATCCTCCCCTCTCTCATGTGCTCTCTCTCATTCTCTCTCTCAAATAAATAAATAAAATCTTTAAAAAAAAATGGTGAGCCCCTCCCTTCCTCCAATCTGATGGGCCTGCTGGGCAGCACTCAGGGAGAAGCTGGGGGACCAGAGAAGGAGCCAGGTCAGCCTCCTGGCCACGGGCAGGCAAATGTGGGAGGAGCATGGGTCTGGAGGGCGAAGGGCAGGAGGCAGTCTCGGAGCCTCCACTGACGAGGCCTACTTCATTCCCATGGGCCCCACTGCACAGATGGGAACACTGAGTCTCAGTGTTCCCTGTTTAAAGTCAGGGGAGCATTTGATTTGAAGTAAAGTCACACACACTCCCTGGGCTGGGAGTATCCTTGACCCCACAGTGGGAAGGCCTTGGTGGCAGGCCAGATGAGGCTGGGCAGGAACAGGGGTCAGGGTCAGAAGGCCACACACGCCATGCTGCAGGGCGCAGGGACCACAGCAAGTCTGCCATGGAAGGGTCTGTCATGGGTAGCATTTAGAGAGAGTGGGAGAGATGCAGGCAAATCAGGAGGCAGGGACCCCAAACAAGCCCAACACCACTCAAGTAAGCCATTTGAATGTCTGAGAACAAGTAGGAGGGGGTGTAAGCCTTCTGTTTCCTTCGGCACACATCACCTTCCACAGCGGAAGGCATTTCCCCAGGAGGACAGACTCAGATTAAGGATGGGGTCCCCACCTGCAGGGCACATTGGCCCTGCCAAAACAGGGCTGAGCCTGATGCTGCCCTTAGAAAGGAGGCGATCGGGAGGTAAAATGCCAACAGATTATAAACTCCTGAGGGCCATAAACCAGTCAAGAGGGAATGAGGTTTGGAAATGACACCCCACCAACTAAAAACAAAATCATGAGTGCCCAGGGTGTGGCTTCCCTTCCTGCAAATATCCACATGCAGGAATCAAAACGGTGCCTTGCACACCAATCGGACAGGCCATGAGGGCCCACAGCTGCCACAACCAAACATGTGGACCTCAGGTTGGGGACTTCCCTCTACCATGGGCCTGCTGACATGAAAAGATGCTTCTGTCAGAAAAGGTGGGTCACCAGGATGCTCTCCATGCCAGATCCAGGGCTGCCTTCCGGCGATACAGCGAATCTCACCCCGGTTTGCCTGGACTGTTCCTATTCCAGCACTGAAGGTCCCAAGTCCTGGGAATCCCCTCAGTCCTGAGCAAACCAGGACAGTTGGCCACCTTGGTCTCGACCTTGACTGCACGTGGGAATCACCTGGGAGCATGAAAGGCACAGAAGCCAGGTCCAAGCCCAGAGCTTCTGACTTCCCTGGCCCGGGATGCCACCAGGGCATCAGGAATTCTTAAAGCTCCCTGGTAGTTGGAATGTGCACCAGGTTTGAGAACTCCTGCTGCAGAGCCATCTGACAAGGTGCAGTTTGTGCCAACGAGACCCATGGGCTGTTCCGAGTATGGGCTCTCGGCAATGCCTGCAGCGCGCTCATTTACAAACCAGGGGCTGCGTGTGCGGACCAGGGTATAGACAAGTCTAGATTCCCAATTAGGACAAGCAAACAATATCAGCTCATTCCAGCCAAGAACCACCTGTAACATCCTCCTGTCCCTGCCAGGAGACACGGGGTTGTCTCTGTTCCTTGGTACCCCCTCTCCTTCTCCAACCAGCGCCTGCCCCAATGCAGCAGTCAGAGCAACTGGGAACATGGCTGCTTTGGGGATCCAGCGAGTGTGGCTGACCCTCAGCTCATAAAAATGCTCATGCACACACAGTCTTACTTTCAGCATCAGGGCTTCAAAGACCCCTGGACCCAGGACAAGAAACCCTGCCCTCAAGCCTAGCAAGAAGAGCCTGGAGACAGTCCAGAAGTTTTCAGAATGGAAATATTTCTCTGCAGTTGCACCCTTTCAGACGGATGTGCAACCTACTTCATAGCCACAGGATCCATTTTCTGAAACAAAGGAGGCATCAGACACCACCTTTGTTAGACCAGAATGCCCAGTCCGTAGGGTGCATATGGCATAGCTACCTCACGGGAGCTTCTGCGAAATGCAGACACTGAGCAGCATTGTTGAAAGCAGCCTGCTTGTCAATGAGGCTCTGTTTGCTGGTCCTGACGCATCTCAGCTGATAGCATCTCCAACATACTTCCTGTTGCAACAGTTGCCCTATAACCAAACAAATCGTAGATGGAGTTCTCCCAGCTTGGACCATGAGAGTCAACCGTGGAGCTCAATTCCCCAGCAGATGCTCCAGGTTCCTGGGGATGAGAGGGCTGGCACTGTGAGCTCAGAACCCACCAGAGGGGAGCTTTGTGGGGTTGGGCCAGAGCTTAGGTCAAGGCTACCCCATGCCACTACCTTCCTCGTAGGGGCCACCAGTGAACCCAGGAGCGTGCACCTGGGGCCAGTACCACCTGGAAGTGTTTGAGGGAAGCTGATCTTGTACAGCCCACTCACCTGGTCATTCAAGTGTGCAGTGAGTGCCTGCCATTCCTCAGGCTCCAGGCAGACCTCACGGATAAGGCAGATGTGGACCTGCCTCTGGACCTTACAGCCGAGCCGAGAAGACAACTGCTAACATAGTTACTGAAACGCATGGGCTCCGATGAGATAGGTCAGTTGGGACAAAGGCGCTCCGGCGGGGGGGCGGGGGGCCTGTGTTCAGGGGGTGGGAGTGCCCAGTGCACCCTTCCCTCCTCTCTGCACATCTGTGTCCTCTCCTGGGAATTCAGGCTGGTGATAATGAGAGAGAGGAGGAAAGCCCCATTCTAACGGAGGGTGGCTGCCTGGCTAAGGAAGGGCAGTTCCAGTGAATGATGTTATGGGCCGCTGGAGTGTTAGAGAGTACTGCATTAGATAAAATGAAATGCAGCTAATTAAGGCTTAATTAATTAATTAGTATTGTCCTAGGAGGCTTCCCATTCTGCATTCCCTTAGCTCTGCTTCATCAAGAACTGTCAGCAGCGAGCTCCCAAGCTCCCTTCCAAGCCAGAAAATGAGGGGAGGAGGACAAAAACTGACCTCCAGCATCCAGCAGGGAGGGAAAAAGAGGCCACCAAGTGAACCAGGGTCCCTCCTCAGCCCGACGCAGAACTCCACATCTCATCGATCAGGGTGAGGACTGTGGAGGGTGGAAATTCATTTCATGAGTTACCTCTGAGTCTCACCCTTTGTGGTCCATGGCACACGTGGTGACATATTTTAGTTTGAGTAAAGAACATACCGACTCCCCTACTGGCTTACAAAAGGCAGAAATACCCCCTGAGGACACACGGAGAGGGGGGCTGATAAAAATCTGGCTTTCTGGAGATGGGCCAGAGAACGAGCTAGGACATCTACCTGGGGAGTGGGTTCTGCCTTTACCCTGACCACAAAGAATCCCCAGCCACCATGGGGTTAGCTCTCCTCAGCATCACTTGACCCTCCCAGGGGTCAGGGTGCCATGGTAGCCTCCACTCCCATCAGCCAAATTCACCATTTTACTCAGCTGGTCCCTTCAGGATGGTTACAGCTGAAGCACATGACAGTTCCCCCACTCTTGTGTCACGTTTCTAGTCTCACTTGTGGAGGGGGACAGCAAAGGAAGGGATTGGGGATGGGTACATGGGATATGGTACAAAATACCCAACCAAATACAACATCCAAAACCTCCATGTTCCCATCCACCCCGTGACCCCAAGAAACATGAATATTATCAAAGCAACACCTTGTTAGGCAACTGAGTGAACAGAAATATGGGTATTGTCTTATATCAAATATTTTATTGATGGATGAGTTTTACCAACTCCAGCTATGGTGAGGAAGGATAATAGTCAGAAATGCATGATTCCATGGCCACCAGCTGAAGACTGAAGTGTTAAGTATCCTGCAATTGATTTAATGATCTTATGCCATACTTTCTTCTCTGGGAAGTGAGAACTATCATTTCCTTCCCCACACCCCTACTATGTTGTAAAGATCAAAGCAGGTAAGTGTGAACATATTTTTAAAAATTCAGTGTTATTCAAATGAAAGAAAGGTTATCCTTCGGTCGAAATGAGGGTGCTGGGGGTGTCATATCTCTTCTCTCCCTCACATCCTGGTGCCCAGGGCCCCGACCCCACATTGGTGGTGGAGTGCTGCCAGTCATGGACATTCCTGGGGGCTCTTTTCTTTCCTTTCTTTAAGCTTTGCCTACCTTGCAGTCTAGGGGGGCAATACCCCCCCATTTCCTCTACCAGTCACGGAACAGACACCATCATGCTGGGAGCATGCCCAGTTACCCCTTAGCGAGTCCTCTCTGTCTGGTGTCAGCTAAGTTCAAGACTGGAAGGGCGCCAGAGGTGGGCACCCCACTCATTTCATTTGCTCTGACTTGCTCATCCTCACTTCCTTTTCTCCTCCCTCCTTTCTCTCCAACAGACGAACAAAGCCGTGGCCAAGGGGGACTTCCACCAGGCCAGCACCAGCTCCCGGCGGGCCTTGTTCCTGGCTGTGCTGTCCATCACCATCGGAACTGGCATCTACGTGGGCGTGGCCGTGGCCCTCATCGCCTACCTCTCCAAGAACAACCACCTATGAGCTTCGTCCAGGCGCACAGGGGAAGAAGCCCGGGCCAGTCATACACAGATGCCGAGAAGGCAGGGCTGGCAAGGGGTGGATACGCAGGTAGACACACCTGTGCGATGCTGTGCACTAGAAGTTATTGCCAAACGACTCCATAAAGCCCTGGGATTTTCTACCCAGGGATTTCTTTTGTTTTTACCCGTTAATTTCATTTTCACAGCACTGTGTAGAGCACGAGGCAGATGGGCACTGCTGACCCTTCCAAAGGGAAGCTCCAAAGATCCTGATCCGCAAGTCCGTCTTGGATGGATTCTGGTGGATTCATGACAGTGCAGCCCTCTCTGCAGCCTGCCAGGGCCTGGAATGCCATAGCATTAGCAATACACAAACAGTACAAATGTGTTTATTTTTTATGGAATATGGTGCAATAGGCAGAGGGCAGGGGACACGTCTCTTCTGTCTGTGGCCCTGCTTCCCTCCTCCGGCATTTCCCCCTGCCCACGAGCCTCCCCGCAGGAAGAAAATGGGGCTGGCAGGAAGAGAGACAAAATGCTGACAGGACTCCCAGCTGTCACTGGTCTTCAGATGAGTCCAGCCCTGAGAGTGCAACATCAGAATGAATAGCATGGGGTCTGTTCCCAGGCCCAGTGGACAATCCCTCCACGCTGCCCCCAGCCTAGGAACATCGGGCCTCCTTTGGAACGTGTCTAAACTCAGCAGCCACCAGGCACCAATATGTGGGCCTGGGGCCTCATTGATCTAGGGCGGGGGGCAGGCCGCAGCCCTTCCCAACCCCTCCTGGAAGGACCGAGGTGTGATCCAGGAACTGTAGGCAAAGGAGCTGTGGGCACCGTCTCAGCATAAAGATGCCTGTGTTGACACTCACCCTGGCGATAAGCAGTGACACCAGTGATCTTTAAAAGGAAATGAACCTTCCCTGTCGACTAAATGAATAGCTATTTTCTTGTCATTTTTTTTAAGTGCAACTACTGCTTCATGCTGCTTAAGTTATCAGATGAACGCTGAGAAATAAGTAATCAGACATTTTAATACCATTTCACTGCTGTTTTACGAGTGTTCATTATTTAACAAAAATTATCTTTTAGCTTTCTTGCTTAAGACTTTTTTTTTTTCTGATGAATATCCATTCTTGGGTTTCATTTCTACTTCTCACTCATCTTAAATAACCACAGAGCAACCCAGAACTCAGCTGGGTAGACGAGTGGGAGGGTCTCCTAAGACACGGTCACAACACCCCTGGCTGCTTCAGTTTTCACCTTGAACACCGTTAATATCCTTGTCCTAATAATAATATTTGAAGACACAGAGGCCATCTCTCTAGAACAGTGGTTCCATCCACGGTGCTTATAAACTCCCTGCCACCTGGATCCCTGCCCCAGAAATCCCAATGTCACCGACCAGGGCCACGGTCTGGCCATGCTCGTGGGCAGCACAAGTCAGGAGTCACTGTCCTGGAATACGGACTCAGGTTTCCTCTCCCTCACCTGCCCCTCTTCTCCTTGCCCTTAAATGCTTCATATTCTGAAAGTGTTTAGCACTGCCTTCCTGGACCAAATCCAAGATCCATCTAGCATCTGTCTCTAGTGGATGCTCCAAAAATATAGTCTAAGACCCTAACCCAAAGAAGAATATATGGAGGAAGCCCAAAGCTCCCTGTAAGAGTCAGAGTAACTTGGTGATGGAGCACATGGATTGGGGTCAAGCCAGCTGTGTGATCCGTGTGGGTGAACATCTCTGAACCTCATCTCTAGGAGAGGATAACAAATGTCCACTTCCGAGGACTGCTGGCGAACTCATGGGCACGGAGCCCAGTGCTTGGCCCAGGTTGGCATGCCAGAGATGGGGTGGCTGTGGTTGCTCCCAGTGTCCTGGATAGCCCGTCCCATGACCTGTTTGTGTCCTCCCATCTTCTCGGCCCAGCATCTCAGGGTGTATTCCTCACGACCCACCTTGTGCGAAATGACCTATTTGTAGTGGTCCTAAATCGGTCCATTTTAAGTTCAAGAGGTGCAAGTTCTGTATTTTTGGGTTTGTCTAAGAAGTAGAATCCACCCCGTATGTTCACCCCACCATCTCCACCACCCCCGTCATGGCTGCTGTATCCCGGCCCCTTGGTGCCCAGGTGCTCTGTCTCCTGCTAGACCACCTTCCCATCTTCTCTCAGCCCCCTGTGTTTCCACATGGAAACGCTTCAGGCTAAAGGGACTCAGCCTCTCTGTACTTTCTCCAGTTCTGCCAAGCCTTTCCCAAGAACCAGCACAAGACCATATGGTTCAGGTGGCCCTAAGGGTGTTAGGGTGCTAGGGTCATGGCCAAACCAGTCAGAAGACAACTTGAAGAAGCACGTGTGGCCTGGAAGCTCACACGACAGGTAGAACCTCCACCTCGCCCCTGACTGCAGATGAGGATCCCCATTCCACAGCCACTCATTTCAAATCTTGCAAAAACCCTTACTACAAGCATTTTAGAAGTAATTTTCCCCCAAAATTATGTGCCGGGGAAATAGCAAAGTCAAGATGCAGCCCCAACCATCACATCCTAAGCCCACTCAGCTTCCTCTTAAAAACCACACGGCCATGGCTGTAGCTCTAAAAAGCTAGAAAAATCACATTTGGGCACAGATCACATTGTTTGTGGGTCAAGACTCTCGGGAATGTAAAAGCTACTTTGGTTTGTGTTTCACAGTCTATCTATGCCAGAGGGTGGCGGGAACGAGTAGGGGGGCTGGGGTGACTTCCTGGAAAAAGGCACCTTGGTACACGTGGTTAGGGTGGGTCCTCTCCCTCTACACATGTCCCTCCCACATCCTCAGAGATGTCCCCGGCCAGCCTACCTCACCCCCCTCAAGCTTCTCTCTGCCCCTGCTTCACTAGGCATCCCTGGATTCATCAGGGGTCCCCTGCTTCACTGAGGATCGCCACTTCACCAGGTGTCCCCGCCTGACCACATAGTCCAGCTTTCCCCGGGGAACTACAGTGGCTCCCGAGGAGGACGCAGTGGGAGGGGCTGCGTCCGTCCGTCACTGTGCCCTCCGAGGCTGCCCAGAACATCACAGTCGGGCCACACAGTTATAGCCAGGAAAAAGGACCAGCCTCTCCAAAAGCTGGAACAGGGCATTCCTTACAGCCAGCCAGTCACCGTGCCCCTCTCGAGATGTTAGAGGAAATCTCATTCAGAGCAGCCTCTGGGTTTAAAATGCATCAGCCTGTCCATTGCCAACAGCTGCTACTGCTGCAGAAAATGATGCCAAATGTTACCGCCACTGAGCCACGGTCAGCGCTGCCTCTCAGAGCCCCTGGCCTGAGGGTCAGGGCCTTGCCTTTGAAGTTTTACAGGGTCTCCTAGAGGCCCCTTGTGGACTGGCTTGAGCAACAGCCCTTATGAGGAGGGTTTCATGCACCTCGAAGTTCGCCTGTATTTGTTGCCATGGGTGTTGACATCTGGTGACCCAATTTGCCAACAAACCGTTAAAATTCAGACCCTGAGCTAGGGCTGCCCTCTCAGAAAATGCAGCTGTACCCTCTCTTATCTAGAGGTCGCGTTCACCCCTGTGTTCTGCCTTTGAAGTTGGGAGCCTCCGGTAGAGCCCTAAGTGGAAAGAGGCTATGGCTGTGATGTCCCTACCCGGTGACGTCTTGAAAGCCCTTCCCTGGTCTTCGGGAGGAGCTGTGCTGCCCAAGAGGTGGCGGCCTCACTCCTGTGGGGTGTTCATCTAAATATTCTGCTCAACCTAGCAAAGCAACGGCAGACGCCAAAGTCACAGATGCTCGGGGCCTGCAGACTGCTGGCTCCCTGCCAGACAAACATGTAAAACGAGTAATGAATCTGTCGTCTGGCTGAGCCCCATAGCAAGGCGTCACAGCTCCTCGTGGGTGAGGAGGGAAGGGGCAGGGGCTGCCGGCCCTGCACTTAGGGCGCAGCAGGCCTCCGTGGGCTGGGGCTGCCCCATGCTGCAGGGATGACAGATGGGCCACGGCCCACTGCAGCCTCTGAACAGGCCCCGGGGAAATGAGAAGAGGGAGCCCAGCAGCCAACACAGCAGGGCATGGTGACCAGGGGGAGTGGAACGCCACACGGGTCTCTGTCATGGAGAGTGCATCTTAGGGCAGGCGCAGGCCCTTGGAGGCTCAAGAGATGTGCCCAAATCCACCAGGTGGAAAAGACAGTGTGGCTGACTCAGGAAGCATCGCAGGGGTGATAGAGCAGAATGTGGGTGCCTCCAAGGAGAAGCACCAGGCTGGAGACATTCCCAGGGCTTTCCAAACCCAGACAGTGCTGAGAGGCGCAAGGCACGGTGGGACAGGCTGTCTTGGCTTTTCCGCCTCCACTGAGTTCAGCAACAGCTCCAAGACCACTCTGGCCTCTGTGCCATGGTCCTCACTGCAGCTTCAGCAGGCCCCGCCGTGCAGCGGCCTCCCGGTGGCAGATCCAGGCTCCGGGCAGCGAGATGACTGCGCCTTGAACTGAGCGCTGCCATCACTCCCCTCTGTCACCCAGATGCCCTTTCCTCTAGCACATGGTGAGCACAGGGCTGTGCTTACCCCGGCGGATGAGACAGGCTATAACACCTCATGTCACCTGACCCAGCTCATGACTCAGCTGAAAAACAGACCGTGATTTGGGTCTGTTGTCTGTCTATGCCAGAGAACCCATATTTACATTCTAACTATTTTATTAAGCTAATCAAGATGTATAGCTGGGACAAGATGAGGAACAGTTAGCATTCTTCTCAGTCAGCTCATGTCTTCATTCCCTGGATATGGTCCCAGCACATTTTCTTAAATATGCATTTTTTCTATTTGACTTGGTATACATGACACGTATCCCTGGTACATGGAAGAGGGGCTGGATTAGATGCAATCTGGTGAAAAGCTGTATAGTCTCCCACTGGGGCACCTTGAGGCAGGACTTTCCCTTATCCCTCAAGAGCAACTGAAGGCAAGAAATGGTCACTGTCCAGTGACGTTACCTGATTTAGAAGCAGACATCAGGCC